AAACTTGGTATGTAGACTGAATGTAATGCGTTTCACAAGATAGGGACTAATTTAAGTGTACATACTATCTAATGTGATTAAAAATACACTTATTATAAAAGAATTGCTATTAATTGATAGTAGTGGATAACTGTTATCTACTATTTCTCAACCAAGAGAATGTAGAAATATACCTACCTAAATATATCTACAATAATTTGAGAGTGAGTATGGAATTAATAATAAGTCCTCTTACTTGACACATTGGAAACACATGCCCTCTATTATTTTAGATTTATGGAAGTGAGATCAGATTCAGATCCTGATTTTAGAAGGGTCACTTTGACATCATGGAGTAAGATGTATTGCAAGAAGGATATGGCACAGCCCAGTGGGCCCTTTAGGAGAATTTATTCCAAGCCAGGAAGGGTTAGGACTGGACTATGAGGATGGCTGCGGGGATGGAAAGGAGTGGATGGCTCAGAAGTGATGCTGTGGCAGTGGAGGGGGCAGGACTCAGTGAATTGTAGAAGTCAGAAGGGAAGTAAGGTGTCATAGGCTCATAAAGCTCCCCTAAAGATATCCACATCTTAAACCCTGGAACTTGTAATGCTATTCTTCCGTAGTGAAAAAGGACTTTGCAGATGTGATGTAGTTACAGATTTTGAAATGAGGAGACCATCTTAAATTCTCAGGTGTCCTCTATGTGCCATGCCACATATTTTATATGAAAGAGGCAGAGGATGATTTCACCCACTACAATAAGGAGTAGGCAATGTGGCCTCACAGGGCAGAGATTGCAGTGATGTGGCACAAGGAAAGAATGCCATCAGCCATGAAAGGTAGAAGCAGCCATATAGATTTTCACCTAGACCTTCCAGAGGGAGCATGGCCCTCCTGACACAATGATTTCAGAGAGTGTTATTGATTTTGGACATCTGTCCTTAAATTTTGAGAAAATAATTTGATTTAAGTCACCAAGTGTGTGGTAGTGTGCTAAAGGAGCCACTGGAAGCTCATCTAGAAGCCTATGATGTCTGCAAGTTTTATGAGGCAGGTGCCTCTTGAATGGTGGGTTCATTAGCCAGGATGGAGGTGGAGGCACATGGAAGAGGAGTAGGTGACAGGAAGACACTATGTTCAGTTTTCCATATTTCTTTTGAAGTAACTGTGGAGTGCTTGAAGGGAGTTGTCCAGATTGGGGCTGGATGCTGATTTCTGGAGTTCTTAAGAGAAACTGAGAGAGGAAGCAGTAGCTCAAGCTGTTGGTAAGTGATTTAGATGTCAAGGATCAGTGTATTTGTGTAGAGTAAGAAGAGTTAATGGAAAGTTGAACATTGGGGATGTACTAAACATTCAGAAGCGGATGGAAAATGAATTACACTGGACAAGTCATAAGATTGAAAGCACAGTGAAGGGAAGAGGACCAAGCAGGTTGGTTGTGGTTCGCATGAAGACAAAATACGAGTGATGCTGCTGGTTGGGATCCCATGACTGACCACACATGCTGTGGGTATCCCTCAAATCAAGTCCAGTAGCAGGAATGCTTTAACTGCCGTTTACCCTTAATGGTCCTATTTAATCATGGCATCATGAATGGGAAATCTGTAAAGAAATGCAGGATGATTCATGACCCATTATTTCTTTTGGGGAGCCCTGCACCTCAGGTCACCATGGCTCAATGGAGTTTGTGACCCTCTAATTTAGTAATGACAACACCCAATGGCCATTTCATGATAAAAACCACCCCCAGTCAAAGACATGCTGATGGATACTAACAAGACACATAGAGAAATGCAGGGCAAGTAATTTATTGAGCAAGATGTTGAAACCTCTACATTTTCCAGGGAAGATCAGGTGATCATCAGAAGACAAAGGATAGAAGTTTTTGAAAATCTTCGTAACCACACTTTAGCAGTATTTTCACCTGAAATAGAAAAAGAAACAAATGGAGGTTATTCATGCTGCTGCTGGAGATGACACATTAACACAGACTCTCATTCACAACCAACTTGTATGTGACTTTCAATCAGGAAAAGGCAAATGGAAGGGCCTGAAGGAAGAAGCCACTGTGTATGGTAAATACAACAGAACTGGTAGGATCACAACACACCACGCAAGTCAGGAAAGAACCCTCTCCATCGACCAGCAAGTAAACCTGGAGATGGTCATTCACCCAAGAGCGGGACTCAGGTTTCCAACGGAAGGAGGAGGGTCAAAGTTGGACAGAGCAGCCCAGGGATTCTTTTCTCTCATGTCCCAGGACAGAGGACTCTCCGTGTTCACTGCAAATGAGACTTGGGATTGAGAGATTAGAACAGAGGTGGGAGAGGACTTAGGAAGTACTGCTTTTGGGAGATTCCCAGTCTCTCCTTCCTTGTGGGAATTCAACCTGATTGCACATGAGCTTCTCAGCACTGAGAATCCAGCTCCTAGGGGCATTCAGAGCGAAGCTTGATGATCTAAATGCAGTGGTAGAAGGGCTGAGAGGCATCTTTAAATATCTGATGTCTTTATCAAGAAGTATTTTACCTTCACGTGTGCCTGAAGGAGCCCAAGCAAGGAGGTCCTATGAACACTGGCCATGAAGAGGAAGAGAATAGGTGAGGTGTGGAAAAGTGGATGGAGGTGCAGGGAGAGGGCCTTGGCTTCTCAGAAGCTGATGGAGAACCCAGACAGCCCATCTCCCTCTGACAAAACGAGGGGGCCTGTTCCTTCCCTCTCTCCTGTCTCCATTTCAACAGCCCGATGCTCCCAGTGAGATTCCACAGTGACTATGTCCCCTGGGGGAGGGCTGCTCCTACTCAGGGTAGCTCCTGGGCAGGGAGGCAGTGCATCTGCCCTTCAGTACCACTGCATGGGGCCCCTCTGTCCTCCTCCCCAGGACAGTTCAGGAAACTCAGGGAGGTGACCCCAGAAGGAGGAACATGCCCTGATGCTTTGTACAGCTTTCCATAGAACAGTTCAGCAGAGGAATGTACTCATCCACTCTGTGGCCACGGGTCACCCTATCAGAGGTGAGCAGTGAGTCAGGTGGCAGGTGACCCCCTCGGAGCAGCAAGCTGATCTGCTCCTTGGGTGGACAGCTGAGCAGAAACCTCTACGCAGAAAGAAGAAAGAAATTACCAGTGCTTTCCAAATTTGCAGTTTGTTTCCTGTGGAGAAGCCATTCACGCATTGCTTCACTTGCATCTTGGCCTCAACAGCTTCTCTAGGCGCTGAATATGTCTGAAGTCGTGCCCTGTACAGTAAGTCAGGTACCCAGAGGAAGGCTGCATTATCAACAGCAAAAGATGGACAGACAACTGCATTGGCTGCAACAGAAGAAAAAGAGATACAGCTGATATAGGGAAAGTCACTTTTCCATGGCCTTCTGACCTATGACTAGATAGGGACCCCAGGGGTTTTATGATCTTATCTCATATTTGTGCTGGTGGCAGTGCAGGACCCTAGAATTGTGACTGCCTCAAGTTCACAGAGCATGTGGCCGAGCCAGGAGTAGAAACAAAGTTTTCTGATCCTTAGTTCCGTTTTGATCCTTTTTAAAGGGCACCCACTACTTTCCAAGGCTCTCTTGGTTTGCTGAAATTCACTTTCCCTAGATTTTAAAACATTAAGATTTGCGTGTCAGGAGAGGTACCTTATTTTGTCTTGGATATAGAGGAACAGGAGATTTTAGTCGTTGAGTGTTCTAGTGAATGGCAGTTTCAGCTCTTACCAGAAATCAGAGAAGGGAGCACAAATTTGGAGAAGAGGAAGTTAATTTATTTTTATGGTGGCTGATGCTATTTTGAGACTCAATTAAAGAACAGGTGCATGTCATTGGATTTAGATATAGCCAAAAAGCAAAAAATATCTAATCAATTTGAGCACATTGGAAGCTTATAGACAAAGTTATGACTGGCTCTCTTATTCTGCTGTGATGTAGAGAATTCCTACATTCTGGCGCCTGATCAGACAGCTTACTAAGCAGTTGATTTGAAAGATCAGAGGCAACACAGGGAAAGAGAACGACGTTTAGAAATTCGACAAAAGAGAAACCCACAAAGAGACTTGGGACCATATTGAGGGCGTGAAGGCATGCCAAAGTGCTGATCTTCAGCAAATGGCTGGAATGAATTGTAGAAGAACGGACTTTGTGGCTCTAATAATGCTAGTTGCACTACGATTACTGGTAGTTCTCCCAGGAAACTAGTAGTACTTGTAGATACGGGGAGTGCTGCTCCTTTGTAGAGCCTATTTGAAGATCTAGTATTCAGAGACTCAGAGAACATCAGCTCTTCCTGATGTTTCAGACTCTCCAAAAACCTTTCCAGCTGCGACATTTTGGGAGTCTGAATCTAACAGTTAAAAATATTATGGACTCAACTGTCACCTAAGACACTCTAGGAAGGAGAACCAGATGTCTGCTTGAGACCTAGAGGTGGAGTCTCGACACACTGAATCCCACTCTATTGTCATAAGCTAGTCTTGGTAGGTGCTGTAAAACGCAGTGGTAAGAGGGGGCTTGGAAATATTAAGCATTTTGTTCAAAGGCAAGGGGCTGGTAGTGGCAGAGCCAAGATTCACATTGAAATCTTGTTATATCACACTTCTTCTGAAACAGAGACCACAGTCAAGGAGTGAGGCTTAGGGGGCAAAACTCTTAAAAGTTGCCTGCAATTATATTTTTTGTAAGTTTCCAGAGTATTAAAAATTGATAAAATGAGACTTGGTCTGTTGGGTGACTCACTGTCAAGTAAGGGAAGAGGTTTCGATTCTTGTCTGTTCACATCCCTGCACCCTCACCAAATAAATTCACCTACTGAATGTACCTAGAGAAAGGTTCTCACCAGGGCTGGTGCTGGACTGGTTAGAAATGATACTCACCCTCATAGCAGCAAAGGGCCAGAGTGACCAGCAGGACGGTCAGGGACAGCCTCATGGTTTCTTTAGCTTTGTGTTTTCAGCCTTAGTGAATGATAAGCAGTTAGGAGCTGGATTCAGGAGCCTTGGGAGCCTAGGGCTATTTATATGTAGAGAACTCTGCTGGTCCTGCCCACAGAGACACGTGGCAGGTGGCAAGGTCTGTCTTCCAGACCTTCCTTCCTCACTCAGGGCGGATGTCATCTGCCAGTGTCACAGTCCCCGACGACTTGGCCAAAGTCCCATTTATAGACATTGCTGGCACCAGGCACATCTCCTTTGTAGCAAAACCATAAGCTGTATTTTGACAGATGAATAATCAAGTAATGGATGCGAGTGCCCCTTGGTGTCAGCTCCTTCCCTGCAGGGTCAGTGCCTGGTTTTGCTCATCTCTCCATGGCAGAGTGCCTGGCATGGAGAGGAGGATGAGCACCTATTCCTTGAATAAATGAATGGATATGAATTAGCAAACCACTGACTTGGTTAGGACACATCTGTAGTGTAAAGTGATGCCTGCTATGCAAGGTTTCCTTTGAGCAGCTGAGGGAGAATGGTTAGCAGCCTGGTGACCATTGTGGAAGAAATCAGTGATTTTCAGCCCTAAGGAGAAAACAGTGCAATGGGGGAGACTACTCCCCCAATTACTAATATTCTACTCCAAAGTTTCAAAAAATATGAAAGAGATTTCAAATCAAATTAAGCAGTAAATTGATTTTTTATAAAAGAAGCTCCTCTTTAGACTTCTTTGTCCAGTAGGAGGATCTCACCTTCTGAGTGACAGCCCTCTCAGTGGAGAGGTTCACAGAGGCTCATCCTCTGCCTCTCCTCAGTCATAAACAGAATGTTCATGGAAACACAATTCTGAGTAAAAACATGAGAAGTCGGGTTACTTATATAGGGGTGATATTTGAATAACAGTGAAGAATATATAGAATTTTGACATGGAGGAACGTTTAGACGAGGAATGCCAAAGAAGCAGCATGAGGGGTGACAAGATAGCATAAAGCATGTGGCATTGGAGAAGATCAGGTCCTCTGGTTATCCTGAAACATATAGCACATGGTGGACTAGGGAAGGCTTAGGACTAGAGAGACGGGTAAGTCAAATCAGGAGAGTTTATATTGTATTTTGTAGGCAATGGTGGCCAATGGATGGGTGAAGGGAGATTCATCTAGTTTTTTTGGTCCCAGTGCTATCATGCTGGATTTCAGATCACAAGTCAATGTCTCCTTGGGTTTTCATACTTATTATGATGGCAACTAAAAAAAAGGAAGGAAGAAAAGGAATCAAATGTTGACAAGGATGGAGAAAAATAGGAACACTTGTACATTTTTGTTGGGAATGTAAATGTTGCAGACACTAAGGAAAATAATCCAGAGGACCATGGAAAAAATTAAAAAGCATTTACGATATGATCAATCGAGTTCACCTCTGAGTATATGCAAATGATTTGAAAGCAGGATCTCAGCTACATACTTGCACATCCATATTCATAACAGCATTATTCACAGTTGCCAAGAGGTTGAAGCAACCCAAGTGTCTACAGAGAGATGAATGAATAAACAAATTATTGTTCATACATATAATGGAATGTTATCTATATTCAGCCTTATAAAGTAAGGAAATTGTGTCACATGCTACAATGTGGATGAAACTTGTGAACAGTCAGTACACTAAGTGAAATAAACAGGCTGTAAAAAGAGAAGTACTGTATGACTCCACTATATAAGGTGTGTAGATTAGTTACATTTATAAAAGCAGCGAGTGGAATGGTGGTTGCCAGGGGCTGGGGGGAGATAGAATACAATGCTCAGTAAAATTTGGGTCATTAAATGACAGCAAGCTGATCATAGCTGGAAATGTATAACTGTTATCTTCTATATAATTTCTTTGTGTGGCAAAA